GTTCCTCCTAAACTAACATTCTGTCATTTTGTGTTAGTTTCTCTACTTCAGCAATTTAGTTGTTCACTGAACAACACTGGATCAGTGCCACAAGGCACTTAACCATAATCTTGTAACCATAAAGAAAGAAGTGCCATGAGGGAATCTCCTGGCGGTCCAGTGGTTAGGACTTGGTGCTTTTACTCCGTGGCCTGTGCTCAATCCCCGGTTGGGGAACTAAGATTCCGCAAGAGCTGCGCAGCCTCCTCCCTGCCCCGCCTGCCCCGCAAAAAAAAAGTGCCATGATATTATGCTTTTTAAAAATCCAAAATAGACACATTAAAATTTCTAAATTCAGCACTGCTGCTAGACAGAAATTTATAAAATATTTACAGGGTATAGAAGCGAGTGATGTGGTGGGTATATGGTATGAAAGGATTAAGTTATTTTAAACACAGTTTGGAGAATACAGAGAAGGAAGAATTAAAGAAAACAAATCCACTCTCACCTTGCTAATTGGAAAATTTTTAATCTTTTGAGACTTTCTGAAAATCCAAATGAGGTGTGGAAGAGTTGCACAGAGGAGGGTAATCAGTCATAGAATATAGTTTGAGCAATATGTTTTTTTAAAAAAAATAATGCTATAGCAGAGAAGTGGTAACCCTAAATAAAACGTGCAGGGTAGGCAAGAAAAGAGAATTCAATAGTCTCAGATTTCAGCCAACTAAAATCCAAAACATCATGGTAAATGGTCTTTAGGCAGAGGATCAAAAAACAAAAAACAAAAACAAAAAAACACTACCCACCAGAAATTACATTTCTGTGTTATTTTGGTATGATTCCAATCCATAATCTCAGCTTATTCTGAAGAATAAGGGCAAAAGTATCAATGATTTCAACTGTAATGTTTTTCAGTAGTGGACAGTATCTGGATATTTAAAAACTAGAAAACATTTTTTATTCAAAACATACTTTTCATTAAATTTTTCAATGTGTAATTCATTCAGCTCAATATTTTTAGCAAGAAAAAAATTATCCAGGTCATATTTGTTTGCCTATTTAAAACTCAAAATAAACAAAAAACTTAAAGGTTGTGACAACAAAAATCCCCCTAAAAAAGTATCTAAATGGTCATACCTTTTAAAGTATGGGATTAAGACTAGTAGATGACACAATATTCCTATTTAGCAATGTGAGAAAATTGTTTCTTTTTACAGTGAAGAAATTACTTTTCATAAATGTGATTTATTTTGGGTTCAGGTAGTTACCAGTTTAATACCAAGGTTACTAAGGAGAATGAACTTAACAAGGAAGTTGTGGTGATGCTTTAATATGGAAAAATCTTTATATAGAATATTATTTTTCAAATCACTAGTATGAAGTAGACTCCAAGCAACTAATAGACTATTAATATTTTGTTTTTTAAACTTACAAATTGAGCATATAACTTCATGTAATAAACATGTAAATTACATGTGACAACTTTTAGCTTTGTGAATTTATATTTTACACCATAAATGTACATACACATTTCTTTCTCTTAGATTTGACTGTTGTCTTAAGAGATTAATTTATGGAAAGCTAAACCAATATAAGGTATATTTGTAAATCCATAAACTCAATGCCATGAATAATTCTTGTAGATACTCTATCTTCAGTCATCAGAACTTGAGTTACAAAGGAATATATATTCAAAAGTTCATTTTTAATTTATAGGGATGAGACTGTTAATCGTAGGGTAAAACTGACTAGCCAGATTTGCTTCTCTGTTGGGATTTACAGTTAGTTAAACTATTTATTTTCAATTAAATAAAAAGTACTGATTCTTTTAAGTCAATCTGCTTCTCAAGAGGATTGTGGCTATTTGATATGTATCTTTTTCTTTTGGCTGTGCCGCACGTCTTGGGGCATCTTTGTTCCCCACCAGGGATCTCACTCGTGCCCCCTGCCGTGGACGCATGGAGTCCTAACCATTGGACTGGCAGGGAATTCCCATGGCTATTTGATTTTTATTAGCTTTTTCAAATTTATGTCACTTATAGTGCTTTTAAGTCATGAAAATTCCATCAAAAATTAATCACAGTAGTATTAACCTGGGGAGTATATTAACCTGCTTGTAAAAGGTAAGACTGGGAGAACAAGCTGAGTTAAGATTAACTGTAAATTGCCAGGAATTAAGTAATTCAATGCTTTGAAAATCAGATTTAAAAACTAGGAATACTGTTAATTTTGGGGGGAAAACAAAACATTACTGGCTACACCTGCCAATAATTCAGCAATCATCTAACAGGCTACAGACCCTGTGAAACAGAGAAACTGGTTAATATATGATACACACTCAGAGGAATAAGAAAGGTGATTTAAAATGGTAAAACTGGCAAATTCATAAGCAGGAAATTTACAAATTTACAAGCTTTTGAGTACCACACAATCATTTTCAAATAACATGAACTGCAAAGTGAAGATGAAAAAAAAAGATCCATCACTACTGTTCACTACTGCCAAGAATTCTATTGTAGTGCTAATAAACATCACCATCTGTTACGTATTCTCGAGTCACAAGAGTACAGTGGAAATGTCTGTCTTTGCGCAGAAAAAATCTAGAAGCAATTAGAAAATTTTCTTTTTAAGTAGGTTTGTTTTTCCAAAGAAGTTAATTTAGCTAAAAATACAGACTTGCTACCTCAGCAATTTATGGTCAATCATAGGCTTATTTGAAAGCTGAGTCAAAGCAAAAAGGTTTTATTGGACAAACTGTCAGTGAGATGTGGCCTCAAGCTGCAGATTCAGCAAAAAAGCACTAAATTATATGGTTCTAAAACTTGGATTTAATACCTCTGGAGTAGTTGAATTACAATCTCGAATTTGATTACTAACACCTGATCAAAAGTAAAGTTGTAAAATACACAATTAAGAAAAACCAGGCATTATTTATTTAAGGTTTGTTTCCTGAAAATCAAATTCCTGAAGTTGGGGCTTCCCTGGTGGCGCAGTGGTTGAGAATCCGCTTGCCGATTCAGGGGACACCGGTTCGTGCCCCGGTCTGGGAAGATCCCACATGCCGCGCAGCAGCTGGGCCTGTGAGCCATGGCTGCTGAGCCTGCGCGTCCGGAGCCTGTGCTCCACAACGGGAGAGGCCACAACAGTGAGAGGCCCACGTATAGCAAAAAATAAATAAATAAATAAAAACTTTTAGTGTTTTGTAGGGATTACATTGATTCTATAAATCAATTTGGAGATCTGACATTTTACAACACAAAAAAAAAAAAAAAAAAAAAAAAAAAAAAAATTCCTGAAGTTGGATATATATTATATTAGTTGAATGGCTAGGTTACGTAGTTATGAAAAACATCCCAAGGACAAACCTTAGATTTTTATGTAACATGGTGTAATGGAAACATAACTACACTGGGAAGCCAAATAACTTGGATTCCACTCCTGCCTGCTATAACTGGTTTTGGGACCCTGGCCTAATAATAACCCTAAGTTTCTGTTTCTATAAGAAACTTAGAAAACTAGAGGGTGTAGACCAGATGGTTTCTAATGTTTCCTTCCAATTTCATTATAATTTTAAATCTTCTAAGAAACATTTACATCAGACAGCTCTACCTGGAATGTGATAATCAGATAGAATGGTAGTTTTTAGGAATACAGGTATGCATATATAACAAGATGGTGGAAATAAAAATGATTGGTTTTGAAAAACTTGTTGCTGCCACCATTCTCAAAACAGACTCAATTCCCATGGGTCGTGAAGTAAAAAAACACTGTGGGTCATAAATCAGTCTTTTCAACTACATCAATATTTCTGAATGACAATATAGTTAGCAACAGTGTTTATTATATTTGAGGTCAATGATGCACAAAATGCTATCTCCTTGATACTACAAAAAGCTGTTACTGAATTGTAGTTGTGCCTCTCCCTCACTCCCCTCAGTTCATATGTTGAAGTCCTGGGCCCCAGTACATCAAAATATGAACTTATTTGTGTCTTTATCAAGTTAAAATGAGGTTATCAGGGTGGGCCCTAATCCAATGACTGGCTGGTTCCTTGTAAAAGGGGCAAAGTTGGAAACAGACTTGCACTCAGGGAGAAGATGACGTGAACATGAAGATAGCCACGTACAAGCCAAGGAGAGCAGTGGGGAACAGATCCTTCTCTCAGCTCTCAGAAGGAATCAACTATGCTAATATTTCAATTTTGAATTTCTAACCTCTAGAACTGTGAGGCAATAAATTTCTATTGTTTAAGCCACTCAGTTTGTGATAATTTGTTATGGTAGCCACAGGAAACTAATACAGAAGATTGATTTACCACTATGAAAAGTAATCTATACATTTTCATACAGCAACCCCTATCTCCCACATCTTCCTATCTCTATTTTAATACTTCAGTGGGTTTTCTCAGAAAATGATTTGATATCAGAAGTTCGGGTACGACTTTGCAGCTGCATAACTGAAAATGAAATGTGAAAAGATTATAAATAACCTGCTTATTCATTTATAAATGAGTTATGAAATATTACTTTATTGTTGAACCCCTTACCAGTTTCTCCCCATTTAAAATTATTTAGCACATAGATGGGGTTAAAATAGAGTGAGAATTAAAAAAAGACTGCCAAGAAAACCAGATCTCTCTTTCTTACCATAACGCTGGCCTCCTAGTGTCACTGAAAGAATCACACAGATGGGGAGTTCACTGATTGCCTTGGGGATGGTAATTGTTGGGGAATGCAAAAGGAGGGTCTGGATCTTATTAATGGGAGTATCAGTGGACTTAAGTGTGTATTATGTTGCACTTTAGTTCTGGTAGTACAGTACTTTAACGACTTCATACATGAAAAATTGATCTTGTTTTGAGTTTAAAGAAGAAAAAGTTTACAGCACCTATGTTTACGGAAGGAAAACTACAGTCTAATTTCTTCAGTACATCTGTTTCTTATCGATTTATGAAATCAGAGAACATGCAAGACAGACGACGATAGTCACCAAAAGCGGTTAAAACTACCAACTACAATACATTGAAAATATCACATTTAGGATACAATTATATACTGAAAAAGGTAGCAATGCCAAGAAAAAAAATTTAAAAAGATCTTGTTAAAGACAGTTATCATAAGTTGTGTTTAAAATCATCCATTTTAACATCTGCAAAAAAGTCGAATTTATTATTTTACATCAACATTATGGAAGTTAAAGAGAACAATCAAGTTGTCTCATGGACTGGAAGGTGACTTATTAATTCCCTTTCATTTCCAAACCTCATTAAGCAGTCACTACATTTATGAGGTAAATCAGCCGAATGCTTGAAATCTAGATGAATTTTAAGATCTTCAATCTGTCCTGTTGAATATTCACAATATTGACATAAATAAATCCCTTCAGATAAATGTGAATTTAAATGTTTGCAATATTCTAGCATACTTGAAAAGCCTTTCCCACAGTCATCACAAACATGAGGAAAAATTTTAGTATGTTCAATAGCAACATGCCTGTTAACATTTGTATGAAGTCTACTCCGAAACCCACATACTTGACATACAAAGAAGTTTTTACATTTGTCAAATGTAATTTTGCTTAAGAGGCTATACTGTCCATGTTCTCCATTGTTATACTTATCACTTAACTCTATTAATTTACATGCATGCTCATTTACCACATGGCTATGCAAGTCTTCTGGATCATTCGTTTCATGTTCACAGAACTGACACAAGTACTGTTCATCACAGCTGTGCTCCTGGAAATGTAGGTAGAGTTCACTGCTTGAGGAGAACTGTACATCACACTGCTCACACCAATAAAGGTGATCACTAAAATGGGTGTCTGCAATGTGCTGGCTGAGGTTCTCAAAAATTACTGTCTTATAATCACAGTATTTACAAATGTAGGGATCCTCTTCATGCAGTTTGGCATGTTCGATCAGGAGCATGTTGGTAGAGAAACTTTCTTTGCATACTCGACAGACATTTGAATCAGTACGCTTATGCTTCAAGATCATATGCTGCTTTAAATCAGAAAAATATTTGCTGTTGAACTCACAAAGTTCACATTTATAGAGGCCACTGCTATTAGCTCTCAGTAAAGGCCATTTCTGCTGGGCAGTCACATTAAAAGCTTGGCTCTTGTCAAGAATTTTGCAAAGTTTAGCTGGTGGCTCTTCATCAGTTTGGTCTTGGAGACTCTCAGAGGAATTGTTTTCTGTCTCTATATCATAATCTTCAGAAATTGCATGCACTTCCGCAGCAATTGGAACATCTTCAGCAGTGTGAACTTCTATAGGGCTCTCCTCTTGAGTTTGCTGGTTGACTGATTCAGGGGAGTCGCACTCTTCATCACAAATTTCAATATCAGCAGATTTTTCTAAATAAGACAAGGCTATTATTATTATTACTAAATAAGACCTACAAAATAAGTCACTGGCAAAAAGAAATTTATTTTACTTATTATTTTTTCACTGATCTATACAAAATGTGCAAATTCTATTAATTACTTTCCCTTACCTGTAGAAAAGGCAGTGTGATCTAGAATTCTAAGTACAGGACTGGGAACCAGGTAGTTTTGATTTCTGTTTCTGGCCTTGATTCCATCTGTAAATTTTGGCAGGTCATTTGATGTCTCTGTATCAGAATCATCATCTGTGAAAAGGGATTTGGAAAAATATTTAATTTATATCAGAACATTAAACATTATTATAAAACAAAGCACAAATGTTTTTAAATATAATTTAGAATTCCAACAGAACTAAGGACTTAAATTTAGCTATGAAAAGCTTTGTTATCTGCATACCACAGATACACAAAAATCTGTCCAAACAAGCAACTACTTTTGCTTCCATGCCCTATTTGGACTAGAATACACTTTTTAAAGTTACTTGGGAATTGTAACTTGAAATTACTGGGTCTGAGTAAGTCTTTATTCCCTCAGCTCAGCCCTAATGTGTGTTTATTTTTTAACACTTTAATTGGAGTATAACTGCTTTACAATGGTGTGCTAGTTTCTGCTGTATAACAGTGAATCAGCTATATATATACATATGTTCCCATATCTCTTCCCTCTTGCGTCACCCTCCCTCCCACCCTCCCTATCCCAACCCTCTAAGTAGTCACAAAGCACCAAGCTGATCTCGGTGCTGATCTCCCTGTGCTATGCGGCTGCTTCCCATTAGCTATCTATTTTACGTTTGGTAGTGTATATATATCCATGCCACCCTCTCACTTTGTCACAGCTTATCCTTTCCCCTCCCCATATCCTCAAGTCCATTCTCTAGTAGGTCTGTGTCTTTATTCCCATCTTCCCCTAGGTTCTTCATACCATTTTTTTTTTCTTTTTAGAGTTCATATATATGTGGTAGCATACGGGCATGAGACGCTAAGGACAGACTCTAGGTCCATCCACCTCACTAAAAATAACTCAATTTCGTTTCTTTTTATGGCTGAGTAATATTCCATTGTATATATGTGCCACATCTTCTTTATCCATTCATCTGTCGATGGACACTTAGGTTGCTTCCATGCCCTGGCTACTGTAAATAGAGCTGCAATGGCGCTGCAATGAACATTGGGGTACACATGCCTTATTTACCTATTTATTTATTTATGGCTGCGTTGGGTCTTAGTTGCTGTGCATGGGTTCTCACTGCGGTGGCTTCTGTTGTGGAGCACGGGCTCTAGGTGTGCAGGCTACAGTAGCTGTGGCTCGAAGGCTCTAGGGCACAGGCTCAGTAGTCATGGCGCACGGGCTTAGTTGCTCCATGGCATGTGGAATCTCCCTGGACCAGGGCTCGAACCCATGTCTCCTGAATTGGCAGGCGGATTCGTAACCACTGCGCCACCAGGGAAGCCCATGTGCCCTTTTGAATTACGGTTTTCTCAGGGTATATGCCCAGTAGTGGGATTGCTGGGTCATATGGTAGTTCTATTTGTAGTTTTTTAAGGAACCTCCATACTGTGCTCCATAGTGGCTGTATCAATTTACATTCCCACCAACAGTGCAAGAGGGTTCCCTTTTCTCCACACCCTCTCCAGCATTTATTGTTTGTACATTTTTTGATGATGGGCGTTCTGACTTGTGTGAGATGATATCTCATTGTAGTTTTGATTTGCATTTCTCTAATGATTAATAATGTTGAGCCTTCTTTCATGTGTTCGTTGGCAATCTGTATATCTTTTTTGGAGAAATGTCTATTTAGGTCTTCTCCCCATTTTTGGATTGGTTTGTTTTTTTTTGATATTGAGCTGCATGAGCTGCTTTTAAATTTTGGAGATTAATCCTTTGTCAGTTGCTTCATTTCCAAATATTTTCTCCCGTTCTGAGGGTTGTCTTTTCGTCTTGTTTATGGTTTCCTTTGCTGTGCAAAAGCTTTTAATTTTCACTAGGTCCTGTTTCTGTTTTTATTTCCCTTTATCCAGGAGGTGGGTCAAAAAGGATCTTGATGAGATTTATGTCATAGTGTTCTACCTATGTTTTCCTCAAAGAGTTTGATTATGTCTGGCCTTACATTTAGGTTTTTAATCCATTTTCAGTTTATTTTTGTGTATGGTGTTAGGGAGTGTTCTAATTTCATTCTTTTAATGTAGCTGTCCAGTTTTCCCAGCACCACTTATTGAAGAGGTTGTCTTTTATCCATTGTATATTCTTGCCTCCTTTATCAAAGATAAGTTGACCATATGTGCATGGGTTTATCTCTGGGCTTTCTATCCTGTTCCATTGATCTATATTTCTGTTTTTGTGTCAGTACCATACTGTCTTGATTACTGTAGCTCTGTAGTATAGTCTGAAGTCCGGGAGCCTGATTCCTCCAGCTCCGTTTTTTGTTCTCAAGATTGCTTTGGCTATTCGGGGTCTTTTGTGTTTCCATACAAATTGTGAAATTTTTTGTTCTAGTTCTGTGAAAAATGCCAGTGGTAGTTTGATAGGGATTGCATTGAATCTGTAGATTGCTTTGGGTAGTAGAGTCATTTTCACAATGTTGATTCTTCCAATCCAAGAACATGGTATATCTCTCCATCTATCTGTATCATCTTTAATTTCTTTCAGCAGTGTCTTATAATTTTCTGCATACAGGCCTTTTGTCTCCTTTGGTTTATTCCTAGGTTTATTCCTTTTATTTCCTTTTCTTCTCTGATTGCTGTGGCTAAAACTTCCAAAACTATGTTGAATAAGAGTGGTGAGAGTGGGCAACCTTGTCTTGTTCCTGATCTTAGTGGAAATGCTTTCAGTTTTTCACCACTGAGGATGCTGCTGGCTGTGGGTTTGTCATATATGGCCTTCATTATGTTGAGGTAAGTTCCCTCTATGCCTACTTTCTGGAGGGTTTTTATCATAAATTGGTGTTGAATTTTGTCAAAAGCTTTCTCTGCAACTATTGAGATGATCATATGATTTTTCTCTTTCAATTTGTTAAAGCCCCAGTGTTTTAAAGGTAACACAGACAAGGTGAAATGCCAGTCAGTAAAGAAAACTGCACTTCAACATCAGGTCTTTTTTAAACAGACTTTATGTTTTAGAAGTTTCAGATTTACAGAAAAAAAAAAAACAGTACAGAGAATTCCCATATATCCTCCATTCACTTCCTCCACTCTTAACATCTTACATTAATATTTGTTACAATTAATGACCAATACTGGTAAGTTATTAACTAAAGCCCATACTTCATCCAGATATCCTTGGATTTTACGTAATGTCCTTTTTCTGTTCCAGGATCCCAACCAGGATACATACCATTTAGTTGTCATGTCTCTAGGCTACTGGTAACTGTGGTAGTTTCTCAGCCTTCCCTTGTTTTCGAAGACCATGACAATTTGAGGAGACTGGTAAGGTATTTTGCAGGATGTCCCACTAATGAACTTTGGTTTTTTTCATGATTAGACTGGGGTTATGGATTATTGGGAGGGAAACACAGAGGCAAACTGTCAATTTTTATCGTATCATATCAAAAGTACATACTATTAACTTGGTTTATCACTGTTGATGTTGAACTTGATAACCGGGGTATTTATCAGGTTTCTTCAACGTAAAGTCACTCTTTTACTTTCCATACTCTATGCTTGGAATTAAGTCGCTAAGTGCAGTCTGTACTTTAGGAGTGGAAAGTTATGCTCTACTTCCTTGAATGAGGAGTATCTACATAAATAATTTGGAATTCTTCTGTACAAATTTGTTTCCTCTCCCTTAAATCAGCCATTTCTGCAAGAAGCCCTTGTTCCTTTTATTGGAAAATGGTATTAGAAACCAAGACCTGGATAGTAGATGTGCTCATTGCTACTGGGCTGTCATTTCTGCTAGGCCCCCTCAGCTAACATGGCAAATAATACGTGCATGTACACTACCATGTATATATAGATATACCCATAAATGTTTCTGTATGTAACCATTTGTGTCTACATTAAGCCAAACATGAGTTCATACTGATGTCTCTGCCTCTGCATGTTCTTTTCTTAAAATTTATTTTTGTTTTTTTATTATTTTTAAAAAATATTTATTTATTTGGATGCACTGGGTCTTAGTTGCAGTACATGGGATCTTTCAGTTGCGGCATGCAGTCTCTTAGTTGCAGTGTATGGGATCTAGTTTCCTGACCAGGGATTGAACCCGGGCCCCCTGCTCTGGGAGCACGGAGTCTTAATCACTAGAGCACCAGGGAAAGCCCTGCATGTTCTTTAAATAATTTATGTATCTGTGCCTATAATAGGAGCTCACGGGAACTGGGAGTTTTGATTATTGCAGAGGAAGAAGAGAACAAATGCAAGTTACTATTCATCTTATGCTCTAGAAAAGAGGAGTCAATAGAAGATACAAGATTGAAAATGACCAAATCCTTCACCCTCTGTTCTTTCCTTCCATTAGCCCTCCAGACTGAAAGGTATAGCTGAGTCGAACTGTGCGTAACAGTATTCTTCACCTTTCATCATAAATGGTCCAAACTCTGGGTCATTCCTGCATTGCCACTGATTCCTAGCTGATTAAAATTGATTTAGGAGGATCTGTTTTTGATTTATATCTCTGAAATAATGTTAAAAGTTAAAATTCACTTTCTTACACAAAACTCTTTTGTTTTCTTAAGTTTAAACACTTGCCCAATTTGAAATCATCACTTTCACCCACATTTTCAAAAAAGAAATGAAAAATTATAAAAGCAACTTAAAGAAAAATATTTTGGAAAAGTTAGATATACCTTTGTTGTCAAAATATTTTAAGTCTGGTTGTCTCATAGAACAAACACTATAACAATGATCAGAAAAAATGCCATTGAATCCATCTGCAATTCTGCTTATTCCAGAGGAATCTGAAAACAAAATTTTAAAAATTTCAAGCACACTGAACATATATACATTTAATGACAGCAATCTCTTTATCCAACTATATAAAATTTCATAGTATTTGTAATAAAGTATTAATATTTCCCTCAATTCTCAAGGCTTTTATAATTCAGATCTGACACTGACTTTGAGCTTTGAAAGAACCATAAATTATACAATTTAAAATATAATACTTTGAAGCACACAAAGATACATTTGCCTTGGTCAGAATCCCACAAAATATAAATATGCAATATATATGTTAATTGCAAAAAACAAAAACAAAAATAACAAACCAAAAAAAACATTGAATTAACTACCAAGAAGATCTGCCATGTACTGTAGGAAAAGCATAACACATAGGGGAAAGTCTGAGGACCAGTTAGGGCTCTGAATACAGTCATTTCAACTCTTGCCTGGGAAGTGCCAGTAAGCAGTAAACCAGGCTTAATTCCCTCAGATACGAAAAATGTGTGGGTTGGGTTGGTTAACAGGTATACCTGAGACTGTCCCAAGTATATGCATGTGAGTTGCATTTGTTACAGATGGCCAAAGACATATTATTTGCCAAGACAGCAGAGCCAACCTCAAAGAAAGGATCTAAAATTACACAATCAAAAAGAAATTCATATTTCTGAAAATAATGTACAAGATAAAGTATTTTCCCAATGATGCAAAATATCTTCCACCAAGGTTATTGCCGTGCCTTAAGCACAAGTTTGGGAATCACACAGGCAAATATCAATTATGCTGTACAAGTATGTAACCTTGGACATCTAATTTTAAATATCTATAAACCACGAAGTTGTGAGGAATAAACAATGTCTGTAAAGTTCTGATGTGTGCTTAGCACATGGCAGACATTGAGAAATATATATTCAGAGAATTTATTTAAAGTTTACTCTTACCTAAAAGTTGACCCGGATATTTAATTCTTATCAGATCATTTATGAGAAGATGATGGAAACAACTGCATGGGAATACATGGCCTAACTTTTAAATAATTTAATCATACACTGACCTGAATAACGAGAAGGGTGTAAAGTCTTCCTTTTTCTTTTTTTAGGATATTCATTCATATCTTTTTAATCTAAAAATGGAAAAATTTAACAAATATATCACAACTGTTAATATTGTTATAAAATTTTCTTCTAACCAAATAATTTATTGGCAATAGGAAGTATGTGTGCCACATGAAAATCCACTTCATAAGAGAAATGTTAAACAATCCTTCTGCTTACATTTTGGATTTATTTTTCTGATCAAGTTTAAAGGCAGGACACCAAGTTCTGTTCTCTTTCTTACTGAGGTTGAGAACTCCTTTTCAAATGTGGATGTAATTGTGAAAACTGGATAATAACATAAGCCTTATGCTTAAATTATTTTTTATAGAAGACAAATTGTGCATATGGCACCAAATTAAGGGTTTTACAGGTACATTTCTTAGAGTTGGGAATATTTTGACACAGTTTTGAATCCACAGGTAGATAGATTCCCTCAAAAAAATACTGTCACAAACCTGTATTGATGCCCTGGCTTCAGGAAAAACAAAAAACCAAAAAAAACAAAACTCATTGTATAGAAGCTCAGAATATAACTTTCAAGAAGAAAATCCTTTTCTGACTTACAAGGTCACATTCAACATTCTGTCGAGAACAAAAGAGTATGGCAGCCACTGAATGATTAAATTCCGACAGACTTGTAGAATTGACTAATTAGTTTTACTACATCCCACTTACTTGGTACAATTCTTAATACTGGAGTGAAGAAAAATGAATTACAGGAAGTTTTCACAGATGGTAAAAAAAATGCCTGTAGAAAAAAACATGACAAAAGTCATATGAGCAAAAATGCAGTTCATTTCTGAGACACAAGAATACAATGGTGGGCTTCCCTGGTGGCGCAGTGGTTAAGAATCTGCCTGCCAATGCAGGGGACATGGGTTCGAGTCCTATTCTGGGAAGATACCACATGCTGTGGAGCGACTAAGCCCATGTGCCATGACTACTGAGCCTGCGCTTAGAGCCCTCGAGCCATAACTACTGAGCCTGTGTGCCACAACTACTGAAGCCTGTGTGCCTAGAGCCCACGCTCCGCAACAAGAGAAGCCACTGCAGTGAGAAGCCCGCACACCGCAACGAAGAGTAGCCCCCACTCACTGCAACTAGAAAAAGCCTGTGTGCAACAACAAAGACCAAACGCAGCACAAATAAATAAATAAATAAATAAAATTAGTTAAAAAAAAAAAGAATATAATAGTACCAGATCTTAGTCAACTAGAAAGCTATACAGAATTAACTCAAGTACAATATTCTTTTGAACATACTGTATTAAGTACTAAAACTTGTATAAATCTATAAATATGTGACTATATGTAAACGTGTCACGTTTCGTTGAAATGAATTTACCTTCTAAAGCTATAGTTGTATCTTAACACCAAAATAGGAATATAAATCTCATTAATTTATTTAGCCACAGTGAAAGCCAATATAATGCAAGCCAACTCCAAATTAGACTTTAAACTGTTTAAATCCTTATAGATTATTTAATAAAGTATAATAATGATCATTTGAGCACCAATTATGTACCATGCTGTGTACATTATTTTATTTAACCCTATGATTTGCAAAATCCACAACACTCTCAAAATCGCTATTCTTTACCCGTTGTTACTGATGAGAAAACTGAGGCATAAATTTAAGTCAGGGGAATACTTAATAAGTGACAGGGCTGGGATTTGAACAGAGATCTAACTGATTTTGAAGACCATGCTTTCAATCCCTTTATTTTAGTTTTGGAAACAAATAGGGAGATAAAGTGATCACCTCAATTCAAGTAATAGATTAGTGTCAGAATCAGAACTGCCTACTCCATTTCAGATTAGTGTTCTTTCCACTGTAGCATTGGGAAAGTAAGGAATGTCAGGGAAAAAAATGCATTGTGAAGTCTTCTCTACAAGCTTATAAACTGCTTTTCTTATCACCACGGTGATATACTATATAGCAGGTAGAACTTGGCATCATTACTAAGACCATCTCATTTCTAGTGGTAAGGAACTTGAGGTGAACATACTATTTTTGCTGTTTCACTAAGTTCTGGGTATATCAGCACTACACGTGCTGTTATACTACACTTATAGTGCTGCTGAGTTTATTGCAAATTTTCCTTATTTTATTTGATCTTCACAACAATCCTGTGAAGTACATAGAAGGGCTACTATCAAATCCACTCCAATATTACTGATGAGGAAACAAACTCAGGGAAAGTCAAGTCAACAAAGTAGCAGAACCAGAGATGAAAAAGCATGTCTTCTGACTTCTGGGTTTTGAACAACTAACTGTGTGAGTAAATCTTCACTTCTAATCATTGCTACCAGAAAGTTACGTCTTGCTTCCAGTTCTTACTCAGCCACCAACTGGGAGGAGGGGAAGGGAATCACCCAAAGAAATTGACAACCATGATTTACAGAAATTGTATCAATATATATAATGCCTCACCTAACAACACAAATAGCATTCCTTGAGCCCACCCCCATCAAGTGCATTAAAAAATTAAAAAAAGAAAAGCTGTTTTCATATTTATGTAATAAACTAAAATCTCAAGACTTATTCCTAACACCTTTTGTACACTTCCAGAATTTACACAGCTAAAACCTTTATACTTCATGTTCTAAATGTTCTACAGGTATCAGATCGAACACAGAAAACTGTCAGCTGAGCATGTTAAACACTTCAAATTCTTTCAAAAAACCAAGAAAAGGAAACCAAGCACAGCATTAGAATTAATGTTGCAAGCTGGCCTGGATTCAGACTGTCAGGTGGAAGGAATAGGATCACTTTGATCAGGAATTGTTTGACTCCTACTTAGGGCTAAACAATAATGCTCACCAGACCTCCTTTAAGCCAAGATGGTAAAATGCCCACTGAAGACCAAAAACGCTAACCATCCTTCATTTCAGCAAATGTTTTTAAGTGCCTTTTGTATGTATAACTGCCCTGATGAAGAAGTTTGGCTTTTTTACTTAGGTATGTGTCACATACACATTTGCTCACTAGTCCTTTCATTGGGAAGATTCTGAACATGCACCTTTTAACTCAACTCCCCTTCCTCACTTAAAAACAAACTACAGATGTAATATATGTCACTGCAGTAAAATTAGAAAAAAATTAAAATGAATTGAATCACTTAGAATCTATTCATCCAGAAAAACCAATGTTAACATTTTGGTGCATATACATCTAGACATTTTTCTCATGCTAAGGTATTCACAAATATTTTACGTTTACAGAAAGAAAATCATGCCATCCAAAACATTTTTTTTAAAAAAAGCAACTTACAAGACACTCATCAGCATCTTTCCACCTGTCATTTTTTTCAATAAGAACGTCTAAGTACAAAACACACTACAGATAATAGGCAGTCAGCACTTACATCAAAGAGTTCAACCTCTCTAAGGCCTTTCATGCAATGTAAATATTCTTTCTAATTGGTATAAACATAAGACAAGCATTTACAATAAAAAGCTAGTTTTCTTCTAAAGTTTTACAAGCACGTTCTTTTCCACCTTCATTTTGAAACAAGTATATATTTTCCAGATTTTAAAAGAAATGAAACACAAAAATGCCACAGGAAAACCTGAACTAGACCCGACACTATATGTCCAATTTAGTGTCACTCTTTGCTTTATCTCTTTGCTAAGAGATAAACTGCCTCAAATCACTCGTGTCCCTTGCTTCTACTGAAAAACAAGACCAAAAGGAGTTATAAGCACCCTAACAAGTGGCTTACACTATACTGGCTGGAGACTTATAGCCGGGACCGAGGCCTGAAGATTGAGGCTACAGGCGCGGTCAAGGGACGCGCCGTCGGAGGGTCAAGATGCCACCCGGCAGGGCCTGAGGGCCAGCGTGGCACCGACGGGCGTCCCGGGCCCAGACGCCCGGAGGGGCCCCTCAGGAGCCACCGGGACCCAGCCGCCTCCACCCCAGCGCCACGCACCGGCCCCACCCGGGCCCGGCGACTAGCGGAAACTCCCAAGTCCCGACCCCTGAGGCACCTTTCGGAAAAAAACAGCGGGCTGCCGAGGCGAGCCGGGGTGGAGGCATCCTCCACAGGGTATGGAACTGCCTTCGGGATGGGGGAGGGGAGCGCCATCCCGCCTGAAAACGAAGGCAGGGTTTCAGTTTAAAAGACGCCATCCGGTCTTCCCTGCCCTCTCCCGCAGGAAGCTGCGCCCGCACTCCCGCGGCCCCTGCAGCAGTGCAGCCCCCGATCCGCTCCGCCCTCACACTCACCAGTCCTCGGGCCCCGCCCGGCCAGCCCAGGCGCAGCTCCGAGGCGGCGGACAAGGCGCCCGAGCACTGTCGGAGGGGCCGCGCAGCCCTGCCCTCGGGCGCACGGCGGCGGGTGGCGCCGCTCTAGCCCTCACGCTCCCGGGCGCTCCGCCGGGCCAGCCCCACTCCCACCCCGCGCGCCCTATGCCCTGCCTGCCAGGCCCCCGGCCCAGGATCGGCGGCCGCACTCACCACCTCGCTCCGCGCTTGCGCCGCAAGCTTCAGGGGCCCGCCGAGAGGGCGGGGAGGTGACTAGGTGAGAGTGGGGGCTGGGGAACGGGTGGCTTGGCCTCGCAGCACACCCGGCCTGGGCGGGACCACCAGCCTTGAGCGCCGGGGGTGGCCCGGCGGCCCGCCCGACCCCCGGCAGGCACCTCCGCGCCGCGGCGGGTCCCTTCCGGGCGGGAGACCGCCCCTCCCGAAACAAGCGGGCGATTCCACCCTCTAGAATTGCTCCCAGCGAGGCTGCCGAAGGAACTTTCCCCCGCCCGACCTCGGCCCTACCTCCGCACGGAAGAAGTGGGAGAAGCGACGCGCGCCAGGCGCCCTTTTCCCACTAAGCTCCTCCTGGGATGTGCGAGAATGGTCTTGCTCGGGGTGGGTAAGGCGTTTCAAACCCCAGAGAGGGGCCGCAGCCTATTGGGGACGAAAAGGGCAGCTGTCCACAGGGCAGGAGGGTTAAGCTCTTAAAAGGCCGTGAATCATTGTTAGGCATTAGCCGGATTCCCGGACTCAAAAAGTCTTGGTGGAATGAGTGTGAAATTATAGCGGATTGGATTAGATGATTTAACTCCTTTTCCGACCTTGAGTTTCTAGGAGCAGAGGTAGAGAGGATTAAATTAAGTAAGCGTAAATAAACTTGTGAACAGGGTGTGGTCACATGTTTAATCTTTTTGACAAAGAGTTAAGGTTAGTCCCAATTTACAAACAAGTAAAGTGAGCTTGTGAGGGTCTAGAGACTAGGTTTTATTCATTTGTAGCCTCAGCACCCGGTTCAAATAATTGTTAAATGGATGATGAAGCCCATATGGGGTGTCATGTGCCCAAGGTCACTCTAATAGTCAGGACTGCAATCTGTGTCTTTTTATCCATACGTCTACTGTGCTTTTCTTGCTTACCACATACTAATCAACCAATCGCCAGATAGTTATCATAGACTTTACTCTAACCCCTTCAACTATCTCCCAGGAGATAAAAGTCATATTTGAAAGAGACACTAGTGTGTGTGTCGATTTTTACGATTTCATAACTTTTAAGTGTGTGTTAAGCCCAAATAAACGAATATTTACGAATGCTGGCATGGCCTGAATAAAGTATGAAGAGATTTAGAGGCACCTTTTAATCCTAGTATAGTAAGTTATGGCACGGAATGGGGAATTGACACAGGTTTGTGGAATTCGTAAAGGACAGTATGTTTCATTCCCTCCTCTTGGGTAGTTGGGCTGTTTCTTGATCTGATACGGTGGAAGCCACTAGGGG